AGGAATCAAAGGAAGCTGCTTTTATAAGAGTTGTAATACTTGGAAATTGTAATGATTGCAACAGTTAGCAAAAGACAAATAACATGTACCCTATAAGATCAGATAGAGAATGAAATGATGTTGCTTGTAGTATAGAAACAATGGATCTAGATACTGAAACTGGCTTGTACAGGGTTAAAAATAATGAAACACAAACATTTGTACCTAATGGCTTATTACAAGGGCTGATTGTATTCAATCATCATACACAGGGCATTTGGGTACAGAAAAACTGTTTAGGGTCCTGCAAAATAAACTGTATCATCCTAATAATAATTAAAAAAAAAAGTGTATAAATATATTGCAGAAGTGTCTCATATGGGCTCAATTTAATCCAAGACCTAAATACTAGAGACCAAAATTGCAGAGAGTTCCTTTGGCAAAAAGACCATGGTACTCTATATAAATTAATTTACAGTATAATCTAAATTAAAATAAATAATTAAATAAAAAATGCTTTAAGATAAAGAGTAATTGGTTAACATATTTACCAGGAGTATTAATGTCTATTCATGTAACTCCAAACTCAAGTGTCACCTCATGAGTTAATGACATGTAGAACTATATAATCACTTTCCCTAATGAACCTTGTGTTCCAAGTACATTCAAAGTTGAAGCAGAACATGCTGAATGGTTGAAAGTATTACAGGAACATCCGCTGTTAGGTTTGAAGTTTGCTACTTGAAATGTCATCCCTTATGGTAAACTATGTGTTAAAGTTGTACAGCGCTACGGAATCTGATGGCGCTATATAGATAATAAAATAATATTAAAATAATAATAAAGAAGTAAAACAAGGGAAGTAATCAGATAAGTGTTATCCAGAAAATAATGTGATGGTAAAATCATTTAAAACATCAGGCCTATGAAAAGCAAGTTGGGAAGGTCCCTATGTTATTCTAAAAATAAAAATTAGGACAAACTGGGTTACAGGTTTAAAAAGCAAACATTGGTACAAAATGTAATAAATCAATTCTTGTGCTTAGTGATCATGTATAAGAAATGTACTAATGTATAAGAATAGTAAACTGCCATCTGTTTTTCATTACAGAACCAATAATGTTTTTCATGGACAAAAAAACTGCATGATTTAAATAAAAGGACAAATAGTTTGGACTTTCAAAGGACATTATGGACTTTCAAAGAGGCTGTGCTTGTGGACTCAATTGGAGAGGACATTATTCATGGACTATATCAAACTGATTGTGTTTTCTGGTTAATGTAATTTGTATATAATTGCACAACATAATAACGATGATACGGTTATTATTAATGTTAGGTAAAATCAATGCCCAAGGTAAATTAATGAATCCATGAATGTTTCTACAACGGGTACTAGCAAAAATAGATGAGGTTCGCGAAGGTATACTAATCATAGGAGGCGATTTCAATTGCGTGCAAGACTACGCCATGGACTCCTCCTCCACCAAATCTCCCGCCTGGGAAGCACAACTCAAAGACGCAAAACGACTGACCAATATACTCACGAATTCTAACCTATATGACGTGTGGAGAACACTATACCCCATAAGTAAACAATTCACTTACCTCTCCACGGTACACAACTGCTACATGAGAACCGATAGATTCTATATCAGCGGCCCACACTTTAATCAGGTACAAGACTGCGTCATAGAGAAAATGTTGTGGTCAGACCACACGTCCGTTACCCTGACAATGGTAGACTAATTCGCATTTAAACACAGGCCTCCGTGGCGTCTAAATGAAACTCTGTTACAAAATCCCGTGTTTGTTAAGTATGTGACTGCTCAGCTCACACATTATTTCGGCACTAATACCACTTCCGACATGTCAGTACACACAATATGGTTGGCACACAAGGCAGTGGTGAGAGGCCTGTTCATAAAACAAGCGTCCCACCTTAAACGGACATCTGAAAGGCAGATGCACGCATGGGTAGAAGCCTTGAATACACTTAACAATGACAATGCGCAGAGACCATCTGACAGCACCAAGGAGAAAATTATACTCCTCCAAACAAAAATAAGAGAAGCCCAAGTTAAAAAAACTGGTCGCCTCATGCACAAACTAAAGCAAGTACAGTACTCACAGGGCAACAGAGCAGGGAAACTACTAGCAAATACAGTAAAGACCGTGCAAGCTAAGTCGAGAATCCCATATATCCCTAACGATCTTGACAACAAAATAATCTCGCTACTAGAAATAGGGAATACTTTCGCTAAATTCTATGAATCCCTTTATAATCTCTCAGCAGACGCCTCACAACACCAGGCGACCATAGATGAAACCAACGAATATCTCACAAAGATACAAACACCGACACTCACTGAGTCTCAAAGAGACTCCCTAATGAACCCCATAACCAAGGAAGAGATAGAGCACGTAATCAAACACTTGCCAGCGCACAAATCGCCAGGCCCAGACGGTCTACCAAACAACTATTATAAAACCTTCGGATCGATCTTAACCCCTCAAATCCAATCCATCTTCAATGAGGCAATTCTACACCCACAATTGCCCCCAGAAATGCTAAGGGCCACCATTATTACACTACCCAAACCAGGCAAAGCCCCAGACAGATGTAAAAATTTCCGCCCGATTTCCCTCTTAAACTTGGACACCAAACTGTTCGCCAAGATCATTGCAAACAGAATGGCAGCTGCCCTGGTCGCTCTTGTGCACCCAGATCAATCGGGGTTTGTGAAAGGGGGACAGGCTACTGACAACACTAGACGAGTGCTTGATGTAATGGAATCCATGAGACGGAGGGGCGAGAGGGGTCTCCTGCTTTCTCTGGATGCAGAGAAAGCTTTTGATCGGTTGGGTTGGAACTTCATGGAGGCCACGCTAGATAAATATGGGTTTCCGGCCCAGTTTGTAGCAGCAGTAAAGGCCCTATACAACCGGCCGACGGTGCAAGTGCTATATGGGGGCTTTATGTCGGAGTGTTTCCACATCACCAACGGCACACGCCAAGGGTGCCCCCTCTCTCCTCTCCTGTATGTCCTAGCACTAGAGCCATTGGCAACCCAAATTAGAGCATTGGAAAACATTAGGGGAGTTCTAATAGGCAAGACGGAACACAAACTAAGTCTCTTTGCAGACGATGTGCTGCTAACTATTACAAAACCAGAGTCCTCTCTCCCTGCCCTGATGGACTTAATAGATGAGTATGGTAAAATCTCATACTACAAACTTAACAAAATTAAAATGTAGGCACTGCCAATCAACATGTCCCACACAATGTTGCACTCATTAAAACAACACGACCTGGATTGGAGATACCACCCTGCAGAGACAGATAGACCGTTTCATCAATGGCCAACTGAAATCTAGGGTCCCCAACTCGACCACACACAAAAAACTCGAAGAGGGAGGGCTGGGTTGCCCTGATATTCACACATACTATAAGGCAACAATACTTATGCACGCCATCTCCACACAAGACGGTATCAACGGCCCCCCTTGGGCCGACATTGAATCACATTGGTCTCTGCCAGAAGGGGTTCACCTCCTTCTCTGGCTACCCAAGACTTCTCGCCCCAAAACTACTGACCTACTGCCCACAACAGCGGTAATGCTAAAAACTTGGGATGCCCACAAACACTCTTTCCTCACTAGATTTCCGATCCCACTAGCCACACCGCTTAAAAGTTTTCAACATCTAATTCCAACCTTTAACAGCAAGGGATGGGAGAGTCACGGCCTTACACACCTGTACCAGTTATGGGTAGGAGACTCGATAGCCCAATTTCCGCAATTGTGCCTGAAATATGACATACCCAAAGGGTTCTTTCTATCATACCTGCAAATTCAAGCAATCACACACCAAACACAATACAGAATCTCAGGGACAGAAAACCAACACCACAACATGTCACCTATTGAGAAATTGTGCACAGGTCAAATACCCAAGCAGAGAGTGATATCACTATGTTATGACTGCCTGCTGAAATCCAACACGACGCTCTTACCGACTTATACATCCGCCTGGGAGAGGGAGCTGGGATACACCATTCCAAGGGATAAGTGGCTTACGGCCTTTAGCGCACATAAATCCCTCACCCACTGCATGTCACATATTGAACTTCTTAGAAAGATCCTAACGCGGTCGTACCTGGTACCTTTGAAGCTAGCCAAAGCATACAAAAACATAAAGGACATATGTTGGAGATGTGGGGAGGGAGGAGGCAACATGACACACATCTGGTGGCAGTGCCCTGCCTTACAACCCTACTGGGATATGGTGGCTACTCTGCTGACGGATGTGGTGAATAAACCAATACCTTGCTCTATCGAGGCTTTCGTATTGCTCATGTTTCCCAAAAATTTAACACCCGCTCAAAAAACCTTAGCTTTTCATATCTTAATCTCGGCAAACCTGCTCATTGCTAGAAAATGGAAATCACCCACAATACCCAGCAGGCTGGAAATCACTACACAAGTCACTACCAATGGGCAATATGAAAAAATGGCACACTCTAACTCGATGAGACCCCACAAAAAGCTGGAAGGGTGGGTCCAATGGGACAAGTGGTTAACCACACTATCGTAAAGTCGATCCCCAACAGGTTGAAATCTAAGCCTCTTCTAAAAACACCCGCGTAAAACTCTAGTTATGGACTCTAAATTGAGGACAATAATAGATAGGCAACCAGATTTGAGGTGCATACAATGCTCATAGGTACGAGGTAGCGTAGTCACAGTCAACGCCAGGCAGGAACGCAAGTGGTGGCAAAGGTCTCCATACACTACCTCAGCTTTGGTACCCATTCTAAGCTCCTTTGGTATGATACAATACATAGGAGGGGGAGGGAAGAGGGGGAACGGTGGGATTAACTTGTGGAATAATTAAACATTTTAAGTTGTGTTACTCATCAACATGTGAAACTGTAGGACACCTCATGCTGTAATCATTGTATAGGAATGGAGACCACATCTGGTTCACTTTAAGAGTGATGGATGAAGGGCCTGTTTATAGTAACCTTTGACCTAAGCTTTGCTAGCCAGTCTCCCTCTGTATTACCAACGCTCATATTTCTAAAGGCATCTATTCATTTACCATGCATATAGAACGCCTTTGTGTAGCTTACCGCCAAAATATAAAGTATGGCTTTAATCATAGATTTCAAATGATGCTAAGTCACTCCCCTCTTTCTAAGATAGCAACTTAATTTAAAGTAAGGTAACCTTATGAATACGCCCCTATGTAACTGAATTTTAAACTTATAAAAATGATTGTAGCTTAGATTTCGTGGCCAATACCTTTAACATAAAAAATGGATAACATTTGGAACATTGCTCTGTATTGGACAAAGACTGTTAATGACTTATGTTATTACCGGATGAAGTGTATGTTTGAATAAACATAAGTTTAGCTGCAAGACACTCTGATTGGATTTGTTAAGAAAACTGGTATGTGACAAACAAACATCTCAAGAAATGCCAATTTCCTACAGAATTGAACCAATGAGTGACACAATTTGTCGTCTTGTTGTTCCGTCTTTGTGGATCTTGGGCAGGCAGTAGATGACAGGAATTTTAGGATGTAAAACATAAGGATAAATACATTCTTCTAGACTCAAGATTCCTGCATCTCCCCTCCTACTCAAGAACTCACAAAGTTTATTTTTTATGTTAGTACTTGAATACCACCATCCTTGTCTGCAGGTTTTATCACTATAGATTCATCGTTTTATAGATCTTTCAAAGATTGTTTTTCTTTCTTACTCATATTTGGTTTGTCTCCTGGTTTTGTGTTCAGTGTTTTCAAATCTTTACATATTTATTTTTATTTTTTTTAACATTTCTAAGGCGCTTGATTTAAAATGTTCTGGATAAAACGTAGACTTGTTTTTTTAAAAAGCCTTTAACAAGTTGACCTCGCTCTATAGTTATATTTTTATTAATATATTTATTTACACACACATTATCATCATTTGTGTTAATAAAAAAAATATTTTCATCGTCGCATTTCTTCACATCAATAAAAGCTAAAAAAATAGTTAAAAGGTTTTGTTGGAATAAATTTGAGACCCTTTCTGAGAACATTTAGTTATGCGTCATCTAATAGTTTTTGTGATAAATTAAAAATTCCTGTATGGACATCAGTATTTCCCTTGTTCTCTATTAAAATCTGTCTAGCCTTCCTTTTTTTGTTGTCTTCTTCCTTATCATCTACCTCTAAAATTATTTTGCAGCTTTGAATAGGTGTGAGATTTAAGTGGCTGATTTGTCTCTCTCGAATGTCTAAAAAAAAGTTAGTTATTTTCAGGTTGTTCACAGAAGGACAAAACATATAATCTATTATTTTTAATGAGTTTGATCTAGGTCTTCCTTTCTCATAGCTTTTGGGTATTTTCGTGTTCACTTGGCGATCTAGGTCACCAGGTTACTTGGAGTTGCAACTGACTGGTAGATGCTTATTAAGGACTTGGAAATTAATATATACATACAAATATTATAAGTTATAAATTAACTAATCTAAAACAGATACAATTTGGGTTACTTAATACATCACAACATACATTTATTATATTGAAATATAGAAATATATTAAATATTTATTGTTAATATACAATTATAAAATATCGACGTTTGACAAGTAATTTATATACAGAATATAACAAAGCGATGAAGAAGGCCCTGCTCAAACGAGCTTACAATCTGTAAGGAGGGGCAAAGACACACAGGAGAAATAACAGCATGTCAGAGGGGGTATGGATTGATGGATAAGAAGTCTGTGTCGAAATAAGCTAGTAAAAGTGGTGTGTGGAAGAACAGTGTCAGGGGAGAAAGTGAGCTGGGCTATTGAGGTGATTGAGGGTAGTGATGAGGACATTGAAATGAGAGTTATAAGAGGTATATTTGTTGAGAGAAGAGGTAATGTAGTTTGAAGTGGAGTTTGTGAGAGCTTTGTAGGTTAGTGTTAGCAGTTGTAATTAGATGCTGAAGAATATAGAAAGTCAGTGTAATGATTGGCAAATGGGTGAGGTATAAGAGTAATGGTCAATCAGGAATATCAGTATTTATTATTTAAACTATAGATAGATACTTATATTGAGGTTTCTGCCTGTATCATTCATTTTCAAAATCCTAAGATCTCTTTGGGAACGCTGTGATTTTTTCCGTTATCCAAGCAAGAGATAAGATGTTTCCTCATTTGTTGATGTTGGTATTTGCATGTGGCATTCCTACCACTCAACAGCTCAAAAGCATTTGCAATTGCATAAACACCACAATCGTCCTAGTTTGGTTGCTGGTCCACTTTTACCATGTAAATTTATTTTAGTGGGTGCTTGATGACATTACCATAGCATTGGCTTATCTCTCTTCTGGCTGAAGGAGACAGGTGGGATGTTCTTAAACTGTCTGAAACCTCAACAATCCCTTTTAGGAAGGCTGTTGCGAACCAGTGGTGACGGTTCACATCATAGTGAATTTGAACAGCCTCCCTGATCACAGGTGTCTCTGCAATCCATCGGTATCGAACTGCATTTGTAGAAGATTCTGGGCAGCGTCAATTATGGTGTCATCCAACCACTCATCGTTGATTATAATATCCTTGTGCTCTTGGGTGAGATTGAGCCATGGCAGCCATTGCTTGACATGTGCAACTTATTTCGTTACAAATGTTAATTCGGACGAAGTTCGGGCAATACGGATATTCGGAGACTTCCGAATGTCCGAGTTGCCGAAGTTCTGAATTGCCGAAGTTCCGAATTGCCGAAGTTCCGAAGTACTAATATACCTACCCAGTGGAAGAATGAAGAATGTTACACTGTATACAAGTTTAAATAAAAAGTATACAAACATAGCCAGGATTCAGCTGTAAGCATTTGAAAGACTTACAACAATCAAGTAACACATTCATATAAAATGTAAGTTACTTAGCCAGTCAATGGAATGACCGGAATGAATAAGTAGATAACTCCCTAATTCCCATGGTATTAGGGAGCTATCTACTAAAAGGCTGAAAGACCTAAATTGGTCTTTCAGCCAAATTTACTAATACTAAGTAAAGATTACTTTGTATTAGTAAATTATGCCCCTGCTCGCTGTACTGCTAGTAGGGGCATATCTAGTAAACAGTGAGCAGCCTGTACAAAAAGATAAGTCCTGCGCTCACTCCCATCACTACTGGGCCGGCAGCAATGACTACAGTACACATCAGCCCCAATATATAGTAAAAACCAAAGAAAAGAAAAAGTTACCTGCACTCTCTCCTTAAGTGGCTGCCTGTGGCTGCTCACTGTAAAAAAAATTAAATAAAAACACGTGTCCTCCCTCCCGAGCCCCCACCCGTGCCGTGCGAGTGGGCCTTCTAACCTGAAGGGGGGACCTATCCCCTAAATTAGAATAAGGGGGGTACCTATTGTCCTCCCCGAGGTCCCCACCCCTGAGCAGTGGGTGGGGGCCCTAAAGTAAAATAAGGGGGGGAACCTATTGTCCTCCTCCCCAGCCCCCACCCCTGAGCGACGGGTGGGGGCCCTAAAGTAAAATAAGGGGGGAGACCTATTATCCTCTCCCCTGGCCCCCACCCCTGAGCAGTGTGGGGGCCCTAAATTAGAATAAGGGGGGACCTATTGTCCCCCCCGGCCTCCACCCCTGAGCGGTGGGTGAGGACCCTAAAGTAAAATAAGGGGGGGGACCTATTGTCCCCCACCCCTGAGTTCGCCCCCTTATTTTAATTTAGGGCCCCCACACACCGCTCATGGGTGGGGGCCAGGGGGGAGGACAATAGGCTCCCACCCGTTTTTCTTATATAGGGCCCCTACCCGCCGCTCAGGGGTGGGAACCCATTTTTTTTAACAGTGAGCACTGTTTAAAAGACATGCCCCTACTCGCATTATAGCGAGTAGGGACAGATTATTTACTAAACCTAAGTAATTTTTCTTAGTATTAGTAAATTTGGCTGAAAAAACAATTTAGGTCTTTCAGCCTTTTGGTAGATAACTCCTTAATACCATGGGAATTAGGGAGGTATCTACAAAGCGGCTGCAAGAGAAGTGCCGAAGTCCCGAAATTCCGGAATGCCGAACCGAATATTTTCCCCATGCACATCCCTAGCCATTGCCCATCTTGCATCTTATCAAGACAACGCACATATGTATGTTTGCTTAGTCCTTCTCAGGTATTTCAATAGGACCTGCTTCTTGTGACACAGGTTGTTCACCTGCTTTTGCTGGCACAATTGGCTCGTCTACTTCTTGGCACCGTCGGCTCACCCACTTCTTCTGGTACAATTGGCTGATAAGCTTCATTCCGTATAGTTGTTTCACTCTGATGTAGAACTTCTTTTTTGTAGATATCAGCAATCTGATGTAATATTTCCTTTTTTTAATTCCTGATGCTCGAAGAATTTTTTACTTTCTGTATCTTCATAGCGTTTGGAAATACTAGTCTCTTGAATTTTAAAAGCACTACATGAGTCCTGTGTTGTTATACCAGACGCAGGTTGTTCTATCGGAGGATCACTTGTTTTCTTCTGGCACCTGCTGTGCCGTTC